CTCCCCCAACAATGCATTAGTGTTCCAATTTTCCCACATCTCCAGCATTTATCATTTTCCTGTTTTGTTATGTTGGCCAATCTGATAGGTGTGATATGGTACCTCAGAGTTGTTTTAATTTGCATTTCTAATCAATAGTGATTTAGAGCATTTTTTCATATGACTACAGATAGCTTTAATTTCTTCATCTGAAAACTGTCTGTTCATTTCCTTTGACCATTTATCAATTGGGGAATGACTTGTATTCTTATAAATTTGACTTAGTTCTCTACACAGTTTAGAAATGAGGCTCTTATTAGAGACACTGATTGTAAAAATTCTTTCCCAGTTTTCTGCTTTCCTAGGAGAGATTTTTTTTTTTTAATCATTAAAAAGTCTCTAAGAGAAAGAGGGGAAAATTGAGCTATGGCAATGAGAGAAGAGCTCACAGTGTGTGCTTGGCTTTGTGAAGGTCCCTTGGAATGAAGGATTAGGACTGAAACTTCTGATAATAAATAAATAAATAATATTAATAAGTGTTTATTAATAATAACATAGCAATCTTAATAAGTACTTAATAAATACCTATTCCCTTCCCTTATAATCATCTCTTCAAGCATATCTATCCTTTCCCTGCTTCCCTTCTCCACGTCTATCTGATAATAGGAGCTGTTATTAGATTTTTTTTCTCCTTACTTTTTATCTAAAAGCTGTTTCCTTTACATTGTCTTTGTTTCATGAACAGTCATGCAGGCTTGCATTATGTGTCTAGATACTTAATATGATAATTTTTGTAAAGCACTTTGCATAGTACTTGGTACATAGTAGGCACTATATAAATACTTATTCCTCCCTCCTCTGCCCCCTCTGCTGCCCCCTTCCCTCAAGTCTGTGCTAAGAAAGGAATGGAGGAAGCCAGGGGTTAGTTGGAAACACATGCAATTTAAGTATTAGGTCAGAATGTAGGAATTATCCTAACTGAGGGCTTCACAGTCTTATGATTTCATTCATCATTTTTTCATCGAATAGCAAAGAAAGGAGTCCTATGGACATGAGAGCCATTATATTGCCCCTAGATTAAAATCAAACGAATTATTGTAAATGGTGTGGTTGATTAAATCTCCAACCTTGAACTTGAAAGGGGGATTGGGAAGAAAAGGTGGTGCCCAAAGAGATAGTCACATCCTGAACTGGCCCTGGTCTGGAAAAGAGATAAGAAAGGTCTGGGGAGTATTGCTCCAGCTCCTTCCAAAAGGGAGGGAGGGAGTAGAAAGGCACAAGTACCAGTTGGCCAACTTGACTATTCACAGCAACGCCTATTGGTTATAATATGAAATGCTATCTAGCCCTAAATCCTACACAATTTTGTGCTCATGGAAAGCATAAGATTACACTTCTTCCAGAGAGGCAGCATGTTATACTTAGCATATTGTCTGGCACATAGTAGGCACTTAATAGATGTTTATTGTATTATGTTGTATGATGGAAATAACAAGGGACTTGAAGTAAGGAGACCTGGGTAATAATCACATCTCTGACACTTGGTAACCTTGTGATCATGGCCAAGTAATTTGACGTATTTGAACCTCAATTTTTGAATCTGTAAAAAAAGGGATAATGATATTTGTATAGTTAATCTCATAGGATTATTGTGAGCAAAGCACTTTACAAACCAGAGAGTGCTATATAAATATGAGTTACAGTACTATATGAATGATTATTATTTATTATATCCATTAGAATAAATCTTATTAGAGAACAGAGATCCAAAAGAAAATGAAATAATGATTTCTGGGAGAAATGCATTATTGAATTCAACGAGTCTCTTTTCTTCATCATGCGCTTTTTCTATCAGCTAATAGTAGCTATGTGGTGCAGTTAGATAGAGATATAGGGCAGAAGTCAGGAAGACCTGAGTAGTAACAGCATTACTGGGTCAAAAGGTATGTAGTTTGATACCTTTTTAGCCATAGTTCTAAATCATTCTCTAAAATGGTTGGACCAGTTCACAACTCCACCAACAGTGCCTTAGTGTTCCTATTTTTCAACATCCCCTCTAGAATTTGTTATTTTCATTTTCTGTCATATTAGCCAATCTGATAGGTGTGAAGTGGTACTGCTGAGTTGTTTCAATTTGCATTTCTCTAATTAAGAGTGACTTAGAACATTTTTATATGACCATAGATAGCTTTGATTTCTTCCTTTGAAAACTGCCTGTTCATATTTTTGATCATTTATCAATTGGAGAATGGCTCTTATTTTTATAAATTTGACTCAGTTATTTGAGAAATGAGGCCTTTATCAGATTAAATTAACCTCAATTGCCTCACCAAAAAAAAAAAAATTAGATTGCAGGCAGCTAGGTGGTGCTAGGTGAATAGAGTGCCAAGTCAGGAGTCAGGAAGACTCATCTTCCTGAGTTCAAATCTGTACTCAGACACTCATTAGCTGTGTGACCCTGGGCAAGTCACTTAATTCTATTTGCCTCAGTTTCTTCATGTGTAAAATGAGCTACAGAAGGAAATGGCAAACCACTCCAGTATCTCTGCCAAGAAAATCCCAAATAGGGTCACAATGAGTCAGACACGACTGAAAAATGACTGAACAACAACAGATTATTATGGTCGTTTACTGCTGTGTATTGTGTACCTAATCTATTCTACTGATTTACCACTCTATTTCTTAGCCAGTAGCAGATTGTTTTTGATGATTACCTCTTTGTGATATATTGTGAAATCTGATACTGTTAGGCTACATTTCTTCACGTTTTAAAAAACTGATTTCCTCAATATGCTTGACCTTTTGTTCCCCCAAATAAATTTTGGCATTATTTTTTCTAGCTACATAAAATAATTCTTTGGTAGTTTGATTGGAATGACACTGAATAGGTAAATTAATTTTGATAGAATTGTCATTTTTATTATATTGGCTCCACCTACCCACAAGCAATTAATATGTTTCCAGATGTTTAGATCTTTCTTTGGTTGAAAAGTATTTTATAATTGTTTATATAATTCCTGGATTTGTCTTGGCAGGTAGACTCCAAAGTATTCTACTGTCTATAGTTATCTTAAATAGAATTTCTCTTTCTATCTCTTCCTGCTGGGTTTTATTGGTAACTTATAGAAATGCTGATGATTTATGTAGGTTTATTTTATATCCTGCAACTTTGCTGAAGGTTGTTACTTATTTGAACTAATTTTTAATTTGATTCTCTAGGTTTCTTTAAGTACACCATCATATCATCTGCAAAGTGGTAGTTTTGTTTTCTCTTTGCCTATTCTCATTCTTTCAATTTCTTTTTCTTGTCTTTCAAAAAGTATTTCTGAAGTGCATAGGATGTGCCTGGACTAGTAACTCCTTTATTTAGCTTTCTTAGTTCTATACAATCTGGCCCCAAGCTATTTTTCATCCTTATTGGACGTTACTCTCCCTCCCACACTTTGCAATCTAGCCAAACTGGCTTTTTCTTTGTTCCTTACTCACAACACTTCATCTCTGAGTTTTTGCACTGGCCATCCCCCATGCCTGGAATGCCCTCCCTCCTTCTCTCACCTCCTTTTCTCAAAGTTCCTCACTTCCTTTAAGATGCAGCTTAGCCACCATCTTCCATATGAAACCTTCCCTACTCACCATAACTGCTAGAGGCCTCCTTCCCAAACCACCTTGTATTTAACTGTTGTATGTGCATATATGTCTGTGTGTACATTTATATATCTATATTTAAACTATCAAAACTAATTCTCCTTGAAATTCTCTCATAATTTTAATACAAGTATTCTGTTATTCTTGGGTGGATGTGAGTCACAGAGTACCAGAGACGTTAAAGAACTGAAAATGAGTTTCATACACAGGAGAAAGGAGGAGGTGCCTGACAATTGTAAGCAGGACATAACACATTCTAAACTAGGAATTATGAAAGAAAACCAGAGTAAAGGATGTTGTCAAGAACACATCTGAGTACTTTACTGGTACTGGGTTATGCATCCATCATTCAGTTTCAGAAGCCAAGACCTTTGTCCCTTTTCACCAAAAGGAATTTGGCTCCCATTTGTTGAAAACCCTTAAACTTTTAGATTCCTTATAGACTCCCCTTATCTCCCTTCCAAAGCCTTAGCCTTGCCTTTTGATCTTATTCAGATGGGCCTTCCTCCCTAGCCCTAAAAAGAACCTGGCTCCTGTTTGTCTATGATTCCCAGAAAAACCTTAAACTTTTAGATTCCCTTCAAATGGAATTCTCACCTAGACCCTTTTTTTCAAACCCCCTCCCTTCCTCTGGCCACCCAAAGGTACTTTAAGTGTATAAAAGATCCACTCTAACACCCATTTAGACACTGAGAATCTCTCACGCCTAGAGGCTGAGAATTTCTCATGCCCAAAAGGCTGAGACTGTCATGCCCGCTCATCCCTACAAGCGATACTGATGTTTGGGTTCCTTGGGAGTCTGGCCTATATGCTTTATCTCTAATAAACTTTTTCTCTGGCTGGAAGAAGATTTGAGTTGAATTCTTTCAGGCAGGGCTCAGTGCCATGATCTTGGGGTGCCTCTGTGCATCTAGGAGCACCCCAAAACCTCTAGACCTCTTCAGTACCTTCCCAATGCCAAGAGAAAGTGAGGAAAGCCCTCAGCACAATGAGTGACTTCCTTTTGTCCAACTTATGGGAAGACATGGACAAGTCACATAGGACAAATGGTCATGGATGGGTTGCAATCTGATTCACTGAAGGGAATATACACATGGATGAGATCCCAGATACATTAGAGTATTTGAGTCTTAAGTATTAATGCAGGGACAATACACCTGCTACACCACAGTGTAGACAGATTTTACCATAACCATCTCGAATTTTGTTTTTCCTAGATATGAACTATCTGAATATTTTTAAAAAAATGCATCTCTATTCTGTTTAAGGCTTTTTCTTTTTCTTTTTCATTTTAATGGCTATTTTTGATTTGAGGTTTTATTAGAAATTTCTTGGAAATGTCCTTTTTTTCACCATTTTTTATTATCCATTTAAAGGATTACTTCCATATTCCACTATCTGAGGATAAACAAGGCAAGATGTACCTACAACTGATGTATGCTGGAGCTGTGCTAAATGATGACTGGAGTCTTGCTGATATAGGAATATCACTTGGTGCAAATCTCAAGTGCTTGGTCAAGGTATGATCAGAGCGATAGTTATTGAAGTTGTCTATATCATGGTTCCACTAAGTCATAGTTAGTTTGCCTAAACTTAACATTACTATTATTACCTAAATCTCCACACATAAGAGGTACCTAATCATTAGAAAGAATAACAAGGTCATTTAAAAGAAAGTCAATGAGTAGAAAAGGTCTTTGAAGAGTTCTTTTTGCAAGATAATTGCAAAGTAGAAGGATCTCTTGCTTGTGCCCTAATTGAATTTGGGTGGTTCTTAGCTTAGGAACAACTTTATAAGTGATGGTTAGTTTTACAGGCCAGCCCATAAAAACCTTTTTAACCAATACACACTTCAATATTTCAGCAATCTGCCTTTGTCTTTGATGTGAGCATTCTTTCTGCCCATTAAGACTAAAAGCCTTTATGACTTAGTAGATGTTCTTTAAGAATTGATATGGCTGAAAAATTCATTACCCCATAACCAACCTGGGTGATGAGTCTTTCCAGACTTGAATAAGTTACATATAATATGTCACGGAACCATACTCAAGTTCTTTCACTCTTGGGAGGGCCTGCCAGTGTTTGGGATCTACTGGTATAGCTTTTAAGAACCCAGGGCCAACCTCCAACAAAAGGAAGAAATATCAGAACTTCAGGGAAAGATTTAACCAATAATGAACTTGAAATACAGTATTAGTGATGATATAGAACCTAATCAACATTGATATCAGTGGTTCTCCACCACCTGAGCCTCTTCTCCACACATGTGGATGTTCAGAAAAGCTATTCCAAGTTTGAGACACCCTGTGAATCAGGACTCACTAGAAACCTTAGCTCATGAACCCTCAGTATTGCATTTACTTTTATTAGCCAGCCAGAAGATGCATTAATTCAAAACAAGCCATCTCATCAAACATCACAGCAAATGAGGTGAAAAGCAAAGATAGCCCATGAACACATAGGACAGACTCTTACCACACCACTAGTGGAGAGAGGCATAGAGAACATGCATTCCCTATTCACAGGAATTCACAGACATCTAGAACATATGTGGCCAAGGAACATATGTTGCCAAGGCATGTTAGAACTCCAGTGCTGCATAGCTGCTCATGTACTCTGATGAAATAATTTTGTTGCTCCTTACTGACTCTGGTTAAATACTGTATCTCTACTCCCCAGCACATCATCTCCACCGAGAATCACTGTTAGTCTGTTACCAAGCTATTCTCTGATGCCATCTGCTACTTCAGTTCCTCAAGATCATCTATTGCTCTCTGCTCCCAGGTGCTGAATTTAAATGGTTGGAAAATCTCTTCTTTATGAAGGCAGACTGATGATCTTTTAGGGAAGGGTTCTCATACCCAGCTAGGAAGTTAATAAAAGACAGCAGAATACTCCAGGCAAAGATTAAATCTATTCTTTTAACTTTCTTTTTCTGATGCTGATTAGGGTCCATAGCCCCTAACAACTGTCTGACTTGAGGTTAGAAAATTCCTTAAAAATTCCTATTATATCACTGAATCTGAGCTTTTGGAGGGAAATCTTTCCCCTAGAAAACCCCAAGAGTTTTTGTGGGAGCCTGGGTAACAAGATTGACTTTACTTCAAAGGTTCTCTTGACATATAAATGAAGTTAGGGGCCAGAACAAAAACTAGAATAAGTAGGCGGGTTCCATATCTCAGTCTTCATTATAAATATCTGCTACATTTATCCTATCCTCTCTGACTCCCTCATTGTGTGACATTGACTTTTAAACTCTCTGGGCCTCTTATTTGTCATCTATAAAATAAGGAAGGTGAACTAGAACAGGGGTTTTTCCCCTTCTTTGGATGCTGTTATCAATTCAGTGAAGCCAATGGTCCCCTTTTTAGAACAATATTTTGTTGCCTACATTTATAATTGAAGGAAATGATCATTTCAGTTAGAAGTTAGTGAAAATGAAAATTTTCTTTTTTTCCATCTAAGTTCATGGACCCCTGAAATCTATCCATGAATCCTTTGGAGTCTCAGTCTAGAAAGTCTCTGAGGAGTCCCTTTCTATCTCTAAATCCTATGATCACCTAAGAGATGGTAGGACTCCATGATCTCTAGAGCCACTTATAGCCAGGAACTGCTGGACTTGATCAGTAAAGTCCCTTCCAGTTCTAAATCTCTGATAGGCAGGCCACAATGGAAGTCAAGAGTGCAGCAGCAGCATCAGCAGTAAAGAGAGCTGAGGGCGCATTCTAGCCTCCAGGGATGGAATCTTGCCAAGACACTGGATTCAATGAATACACCTAATATTTCATGAATTTTTTGCTGATCTCAATCATCACCCTTCTGTAGAGCTACCCTAACACCATTTCTGGTCACCGGGTTCATGCAGGACAATGCTGCACTGTCTGAGAAATCAGCTGCCATCCAACTCACAAACACTGGCCAGTGCCAGCTTCAGTCTTGACTGAGCCCTGGCTGAGGTTCTGTAATAACACAAGCCGATGGTATAAAGCAGAAAAATCTCACATATATATGGCAACAATCCAAGATGAGCAAACAGAAGCTATTTCTTCAATAAAAGGACCACGCAAATACATTGTAAGATTCAAAGAATGCTGTTCCACCAGCTGTATACTTCTTAATCTATCTCAGGTGACTGAAGGCATGTCACACGTCAAGGCATAGTCTTGCATTGCACAATTGCATATACAAACATAACTAGCAACCTAGGTACTACTTACCCAGTCAGACAGAAGCTTTCCCAGGAAGCTGGTCACACCTAGATTCTAAAGAATTCTTCTGAGAATTTAGGGAAGCAAGAGCCACTTTACTGGTTTTTTGGCAGGGCCAGGAAAACATTAGTTAACCTATGAATAAAATATCCTTCAAAGTGCCCCAAATGCTTATGGGTAAGAACCTGTCCTTAGTACTTTCCTCAAACGCTGCATACAGGCAGCTATTAAGTAGTAAGATATACTGGGAAAATATTCAATTTTTTTTTGGTTGTCTTTGTTTTTATGTTGTGATTGTGTGAAGAGCTAGTTTGCCTTTTGACGATTTTTAAAAAATAGGCAGTGCCTTTACCAGTTTTGGTTTAAGATTTTTTTGGTGAGGCAATCAGGGTTAAGTGACTTGCCCAAGATCACACAGCTAATAAGTTTCAGGTGTTTGTGAGGCTGAATTTGAACTCAAATCCTCCTGACTCCAAGGCCGGGGCTCTATCTACTGCATCACCTAGCTGCCTCTCCTTTACCAGTTGTACAGGATTGTTCTACCCCTAAAAGTATCACATGAACAATTTGAAATGTCCTTGTGGAAGGTATTTTGTAAATATGTTAGGCCTTTGCAAGGGCTTTTTTTCTTGTGCACTTCTTTTGAAAAGTATTAGATTTTTAAAGAAAAGAATCATAGATCCAGAAAATACTTCACAGACAATCTAATTCAACACCCTCATTTTTTATAAATAATGAAAGTGAGGTTAGGTGACTTGCCTCAGGTTACACAGGCAGAAGAAAGTGTCTGAGGGAAGATTTGAACCCAAGTCCTCTGATGCCCAGAGCAGCACACTTTCCACAATACCACATTGTCTGTTATAACAAATGTCCGTTAACAATGAAGGGACCCTGTGGAAGAAAAATAATAGAAACAAAGGAAAAATGAATATGATTGTTTTGGGTAGGGAAATGGGGAATGAGATAGTTTGGGGAACCTGCGGCCTCAAGGCCACATGTGGCTCTCCAGGTCCTCAAGTGCAACTCTTTGACTGAATCCAGACTTCACAGAACGAATCTCCTTAATAAAAGGGTTTGTTCTGTAAAACCTGGACTTAATCAAAAGGTCACATGTGACCTTGAGGCCGCAGGTTCCCCACCCCTGGTTTGAGCTATCACCTTCCAGCTAGAAGAGGGCTGTACTACATGAGAATGAGGGAAACCCTTGTGAACCATATTTTTAAATCCACGCTTGTACTAACCTATGGTTGAGTGGATAGATAGCCAGTCTTGGAGTCAGGAAAATCTGCTTCTGACACATACTTTGGGTTTGTTTGTTTTTTAATTCCATCTTTCTCAATTTGTTATTTATTTATTCATTATCTATTTATTTATAACATTAATTTTTTTTTAATTTTGATTTCCAAATTCTTTTCCTCCCTCACTCATTAAGAAGGCCAACAATATGATACCCATTATCCATGTGACACATACTTTGAAAAGTCATATGATACAGTGGAAAGAATACTGGATTTGGAATCAGAGGTCCAGGCCAGAGGTTCCCAAAGTTATTTGGCCTACTGCCCGTTTTTAAAAAAAAAAAAATTAGGGACAGCTAAGTGGCACAGTGAATAGAGAATCAGCCCTGGAGTCAGAAGGACCTGAGTTCAAATGTGGCCTCAAACATTTGACACTTAATAGCTGTGTGACCCTGGGCAAGTCACTTAACCCTGATTGCCTCACCAAAAAAAAAAAAATTTATTCAGCACCCACCTGGAAATCTACTTTCTTTAACCCTTTAATGGTTTTTTGAAATTTGCATCATTTCAAAAAAATATAAAAATTTTTTAAAAGACTCATCTTAAATTTAATAATTTATTGTAAATTTGTGGGTTTTTTCCTGCATTGAAATTTTGATGACACAGTATTACGTCATGTAACTGTATAATATCATATTGTAAATAAGTCATTACATGCACATATTCCTGCTGATGCATACTGGACTTCCCAACAATGTGCCACACGCTCGACTGCCAACACTTGCTTTTTAAGACCTGTCAGCAGACTTGACCACTGATGGGTTATAACTCACATTTTGTGTGTTTATTTGGAAAATAATGTAATCACTAGGATTTTATCTCTGTTACACAACAGATGAAACAAGTATGAACAGTTTTTCAAAATTTTTCTTCTCTTCTTTCCTTATGCTTCCATACCCCCCCCCATTTTTATTCAACTCCCCCCAATTATACCCGAGACTACTACTGCTTCTCTAGATCATTCCAGCACCCTCTATGGGGGCAGTATTGCCCACTTTGGGAATCTATGGTCCAGGCTTTAAACACTGCTTCTACTATTCTCTGTATAGGAAGGAAGAACCACAAAAGGGAGTGCTGGCCAGGGAATTGATTCAGTTCAACAAACATTAACTGAATTGTTTGTTGAACTGAACTGACAGGCAAACAGTGAGATAGGCCATTACTTATGGGAACTATGTAAAGGCAGTCAGTCTGCAGCAACCCAGCAGCATTAGCTTTTCCCCCAGGACGTGTGGAGGAAGAGGTTGATTACTTCATCTTTCTGCTTCAGGAAAGGGGCTTAGGTGACCCAAAAGAAGAAACTGTTGCCACATACAGTGGAAAGAATGAATCCTCTGGGGTCAGAGGTCTTTTTTTGGGGGGGGGGGTCAGAGGTCTAATATTCAAATCTCGCGTCTGCCACTATCTGGGTGACATTGGGCCGGAAAGGCTTGTGTCAAAAAAAAATTCTTCATTTTTGGCTTTTGCCCTGATTAAGGAAGCAAAACTCAGGACAAAGAGAATTAATTTTTTATTAATTTATTTTTATTTAATTATTTTTATATTTATTAATTTATTTTAATTTATCAACAATCACTTCCATAAGCTTTTGAGTTTAAAATTTTTCTCCCCCTCCCTTCCTGTCTCCCTCTCCAAGATGGCACGCAATCTGATATAGGCTATACATATACATTACTATTAAACATATTTTCATATTAGTGATGTTGTAAGGAAGAATTAGAACCAGAAAGAGGAAATAAAACACAACAGAAGGAAAAAAAAGAGCAAATAGTATGCTTTGATCTGCATTCAAACTCCATAGTCCTTTCTTTAGATGTGGATAGCATTTTCCATCATGAGAATTTTGGAGATATCTTAGATTCTTGCATTGCTGAGAAGGGCTAAGTCTATCAACATCAGTTATCACACAACATGACTGCTACTTTTGATACCTTTCATAATGAGACAGACAATTGGGATAGATCCAGGTCAGCAAAAGGGGATGGGCCATTGCACTTCATTACCTCCCCAAATACCAGTAATTGAGGGTTAACAGGTAGCTCCTAAGTGATATACAACAGGTGAAACATCAGTTCTCTCTCTGGAGAAGGATAGCATTTTTTATCATAAATCCTTCAAAATTGTCTTGCATCATTGTATTGCTGAGAACAGCTAGGTCATTCATAGCTGATCATCAAACAATATTGCTGTTCTGTATATAATGTTCTCCTGGTTCTGTTCATTTTACTCTGCATCAGTTCATGTAAGTGTTTCCAGCTTTTTCTGAGAGCATCCTCCTCATCATTTCTTATAGTATGATAGTATTCCATCACAATCATAGACAACAACTTGTTCAGCCATTCCCCAACTAATGGGCAGTCCCTCAATTTCCACTTCTTTGGCACCACTAAAAGAGCCGCTATAAATATTTTTGTATGGATGGGTCCTTTTCCTTTTTGTTTTTTTTATCTCGTTGGGATGTAGTCCTAATAGTGGTATTGCTTGGTCACAGGGTATGCACAGTTTTATAACCCTTTGGGTACAGTACCAAATTGTTCTACAGAATGGTTGAAGCAGTATACAACTTCACCGACAGTGTATAAATATCTAAATTTTCCCACATCCCCTCCAACATTTGTCACTTTCCTTTTCTGTCATATTAGCCAATCTGAAAGGCACAGGTGGTAACTCAGAGTTGCTTTAATTTGCATTTCTCTAATCAATAGTGATTTAGAACATTTTTTCATATGACTATAGATAGCTTTGATTACTTTGTCTGAGAACTGCTTGTTCATATCCTCTGACCACTTATTAATTGAGGAATGGCCCTTATTTCTATAAATTTGACTCAATTCTCTATATATTTGAGAATTGAGGCCTTTATCAGAAAAACTTTATAGCAGGTGATACAAAGGCTGCAGACTGAGTAAAGGCTTCCCCAGTACTGATTTACAAACAGGCATGAGAACAATAGGTCACTGAGTCAGCATAACTTCCAACCATTGGACTAGATGTCCTTGAGGCCCCTTCCAGCTTCAGGGCTATGATACCATTCTGTGATCTAGAGCATAAACTTATTGATCTGTGGGGGCAGAAAAATGGCATTAGCTTGCTGCCATAGCCTCAATGAAAGGACTTGCCTATTAGATGTCAATTGCAGAGCTGATTATGTCGCACTCTGCGTGCATGTGTGTCTGTGCTAAGCCACCTCTAAGGACAGCTCTGCTCTTGACTGTGCTACGAGCTGCCCGGGGTCTTGGGAACATTGCTCATGGAAGGATTTGACAATGAAGACTCTGTTACCAAGTCAGGAGCAGCTGTTCCTTGAACAACACCTTCTAAGCCTTTTCCTCTTCTCAGAGATATGCCTATATCAGAGTTATAAGACCCTCCTGATCAGAGGTCACAGGACCTTAACAAGCACAATCTTGGTTCTCCTGAAAGCATCCCCCAACCAAAAATATTTTCCTGAGACTTACAACTTTTTATCATTACTATACTTTAATGGCATCTTAATTGGACTAAGGCAATGGGTTTTATTGTTGTTGTTTTGCTATTGCTGAAGGGTAAGAATTAGGTAGGTATCATTGTAATCAGGGATTTTTTTTTTAAGGAAATTGGGGTTAAGTGACTTGCCCAAGGTCACACAGCTAGTAAGTGTCTAGTGTTTGGTCTGAGGCCGGATTTGAACTCAGGTCCTCCTGACTTCAGGGCCAGTGCTCTATCCACTACGCCACCTAGCTGCCCCCAGGGATTATTTTTTCTAATTAATCTACTGCTACTCACTTGTCCCATGCCTGAAATCTAGACTATGTGATACAAAAGAGAGATAAATTTTTTATATAGAAGAAAAAGGTCTTTAGCATGGAGATGGGGAAGTGGAGAGATGGGGAGATTCTCAGTACCTGAGAACAGCATGAGGACATGGGCTGCCTTAGGAAGTAGATTGTAAAGGAGAGATTCTGAAAGGAAGTATATATTTGGAGGACAAACTTTACCTATCTCAAAATTTTGCCTGAAAAATTTTTCCTTCAAAGTACAACTCAGGTGTTACCTACAGATTTAGTGTTCTGCTGCAAACCATCATCACTTGAAATAACCTGATATTTATTCCATATATATTTTGTATTTAATTATCCACACATACATTGTTTTCTCCCTAGGAGAATGTAAGCTCCTTGAGGGCAGGTTTTTGTTTCAGGTTTTGTTTTTGTATCCCCTATTCCTAACACAGTGTTTCAAACATAAAAATACTTGTTGAATTGAAGTAAATTAAACTGAAATTGACTCATATGATTAGGAAACTACTTACTGTACTGCCTTGATGAGGGTAGAACATCTAGTTTTGAGAATTTTGAAGAACTTGGCATGGGTTTCCCTTTTTTCAGAAAACTGAAACTCAATAGCTCGTTGCTTATTAACTTTTGGAATTTATAAGGGTGTGTGTGTGTGTGTGTGTATGTGTTTTATGAACAGAAAGACTGGGGTAGTTTGTTCCCAATTGTACAATTTTCCAGTAACCTTTTTCTGTACAAGAGCCTTAGCTACACTCTTTTTTCTTGCATCATCTACAAAACAATAGGAAACAAAGATAGAAGTTTTTACGAAACTAAATGAAGGACTAGGTGTAAACATTTCCAATCAAACTAGAAAAAAGTAGGGCCATTTCCCAAACAAAATTACTCAACATTATTTAAACTCCTTATCCCCTTAGTTTGTGGACTCAGCAGCAAGTGAAACTGAATTACTCTTAATCCTAAGTGAATCAGTTAGATGACATAGTGGATGGAACATTGGATTTGACGTCAGGAAGACCTTGGTTCAGATCATTTCTTAGTCACTAGCTTAACTCTGGGCAAGTCACCTAACTCTTCTCAGCCTTACCTGAAATGGCAAGATAGCACCTAGCTCCCTGAGTTGTTGTTAAGATCAAATGAGATAACATACAAGGGGCTTTGCAAACCTTAAAGCACTATGTAAATATTAGCTATTTTCATTATTAAAATCAAAAGGACAAACATCTCAATTGCAGAGAAGTAGACTAGAGTTCAGTGGTCTTTGAAACTGAATCTTTTCTTCCCATTCCTGCTTTTTGGACAGCAGGGCTAACTTATACCTCTCTTTGCTTTTTTCCCCCCACTTAGAAAGAAAACAAACCAACCCTCTACATCTACAATGCAGTAACTCAAAAAACAATGCCAATAATGGGGAGCATTTACCTTCTTGGTAAAAAAGTGTCGTATCTGAAAACACTGATAACCCTGAGATGTGGCTTTCCAGTGAGTATCTTCTGTCTCCGGACTCCTCAAGGAAGGGAGATGTATGACTGTAATACACTGATTGATTACCAAACAGATATAGGTACAGTATATGGTTTTTTACTTTGGAAACTCTTTCTAAAACTTGTCCATTGCAGGTCAATTTCCAATACAACAAACTCCAAGGTTCTGTCTGCATTTTTCTTTTGTACAGAAATTTGGCTTGAAATTAATATTAAAAAATAATAATTTAATGTTTATATAGTATAGGTTATATAGTTTGGTATAGGTATATTATCCCTGTTTTACAGATGAGCAAAATGGCTTAGAGAAGCAATATTGAATATTGCTCGAAGTAAATGATTTGAGGATTGGAAAAAGGGAAAGGCTGGCGAGGAAAGACTTTTAGTTTACTTTTATAACTTTTAGTTATACTATACTACTATACTATGTGCTTGTTATAATGAGATTGGATTTGTGCTATGGGTACTGCACAAGTGGGCAGTTCTTTGCTTTGGCTTTTCCTATAGAGTTCATATAGTAATAACATAATAAAAATACTGAGCATTTTTGTGCTTAAGATATGCAAAGTGCTTTACAAATACAATCTCATTTTATCCTTACAATAATCCTGGGGAGGTGGATGCTATAATTTCCTTCATTTTACAAGAGAGGAAACTGAGGAGGAGAGTGGTTAAGTGATTTGCCTGAGCTCACATAGCTAGCTAGTATTTGAGACCAGATTTGATTTTCTCACTCTAAGTCTAGCCATTGCACCACGTAGCTGCCCCCTGTCTAATGAAATCTTTGTCAAACAATTATGAAGACTTAACATTTCTCCTTTCTATAACTTATTGTTTCAGGACCTCAAAGCCCTTTGAGATTTATTCATCTAAGCTCACCAAACATCACAAAACTCTAACAAAATTTTGTCCCCTTTTTGCAACAGGGCAACTGAAAGCCAGAGAAATTACATGATTTACCCCTTTTCCCTTGACGTATGGCATAGCTTTTCTTTACACAGCACTGTACTAAACATTGGGGAGGATTAGAAAAGTCATCCAGTTCACCATTCCTTGTGCTAAAGGAACTCTCAAGCTGCTTTCTTATACAAACATCAGAGCATCCATGACAGCTGAGAATAGACCCTGCCTTGCTTTGCTTTCAGGTGATCCTGCTGAGAGTTTAATATGACAAACCCTCTCTGTACCTATACAGCAATCATTCAACCAATATACTTTCATTGAATGACTTCCGTAATGATTGTTTTTGTTATGTGGTTGGGAGACATGGAACACTAGTCTCCAAAGGATTGAAAACAATCAGAGGCAAGGAAGAGATCTTTGTGGTCATGAGCAGGCTGAAATTTGTTAAAAATAAGGAATTATTAAGAAATAAAGCACAGATTATTAGGAGGCAACTAGGTAGCTCAGTGGACAGAATGCTGGGCTGGAGTCAGGAAGACCTGAGTTCAAATCCAGCCCCAGATATTTACTAACTGTGTGACCCTATGCAGGTCACTTAACCTCTGTTTGCCTTAATCTACTGGAGAAGGAAATGGCAAACCACTCCAGTATCTTTGCCAAGAAAACTTCATGAACAGTATGGTCCACATGGTCATGAAGAGTTGGACATGACTCAACAACAGTAACAACAGATTATTAACAAAAAAAATTTAAGAGCAAAAGAGATCTGATGTACATGTGGCAAGAACAGATGATAACTGGTGGAAAACCTGTGTACTCATTTGGTATCCAAGAGAAGTCACTACAAAGTGAAGAAGGCACTAACACATTGGGGTAGATCCCCTGTGAAGAACTTAGGGGTGAATGTGGATAAGAATTGCATAGGAATTGTAGGACTCCTCCATCCTGTAAGGCAATGTTATAGTAGATTGAGTGCTGCTTTCTACCGGGCATCACATCTTTGGGTGTGTCCCTCCATTGTTCTTGTGGTAAGTGTTTCTCTCAGCTTTTGGGCCCTATCTCTTCAGGATCTTCTGATTATCTCTGATGTAATGACTAGAAAGCCTCTGTCTGATGAGGGCAGGTTAACCATTCTTTTAGTACCTAAGGTTAACCAGAAGAAGAAAAAAAAAAAAGCCACAGCATGGCAATTTCCTCAACTGTAAAATGGAGATAATAATAGCCCCTACCTCTCAGGGTTGCTAAAGGATCAAATGAGATAATATTTGTAAAGCACTAAGCATAGGGCTCAATAAATGTTTGTTCCCTTCCCCCCGTGGTCACACAGCTAATAAGTATCAGAGGCTGAGTCTGAGTTGAGAACTCTATCCATTGTACTATGCTACCTCTCTTTTGCAGTGGGAAGCAAAGCGGCTTATTTGCTTTTCTTTTCAAACAAGAATGAGTAGAAGCCATAGAATCTTAGAGGGAAAAAGGACACTGCAAGCCATCTGTTCTAAATTAGTAGCCAACCTGGGAATTCCCTTTATGTCTTCCCTGATAGGAGATGATCATAGACTTTGTTTCTTGAAGATCTCCTTATGTACTGATATTTTCTAATGAGACAGTCATCCTAGCTTACAAAGTGCCTCATTCTGTTTCTGATCACTCAATGGTTATTATACTCTTTATGGTATGAGGGTTGTCCCATACACCTAAATCCCAATTAATGTAACTAACCAGATACTCCAGCCTTGATACCTTTTGACTGAAAACTCCTCTTTAATTGAATTGCAGAATCAATAAACCAAAAGGGTAAATGAGGTGTGAATAATTCCTGAATAACTTTATTGACTCAATCAATCAATCAATCAATTCATCAACTAAAGGTATAAACTAGGTATGACTTGAATAAAAGCAGATGAGTCACATAGGAAACATCTTGTGGTTGGTTGAAGAGAATGAGTCAACCTGTAGGGCTTGGATAAAATGACAAGCCATTTTGGAATCTGGTAATCCAATAGCAGGTCAGTCAAGTTCCTAAGAGGGAATCATTTGGGAGGGAGAAGAGAGTCTTTGTCTCCTCCCCACCTCCTTTGACAAGAAGATGAACCTGTGAATTTTGAAAGGTCAGAAAATTTAGATTTCCCATGAGGTGTTGGTAGCACTATCCATGAAATGGCAGCAGCTGACAGCAGCCTGAATTGGCAGCTAAAGGACAAACTGAACCCACAGAAGAAAACAGATGCCTCTACAAGAGCATCAACTTTCAGAACCCAGCAGAGAGCTACAAACACTAGAAGAGGTGTTCATGAAGATTCTACAAGATGAGAAAAAGACTTCCAGAAATCAGGTACTCTGAGTCACACCTTTGTCACATATGGCTTCTAAGCTTGAGTCCAACTCTCCTCAGGGATCTTACATGTGCCAGGAGAGAATGTATTCTCATTTTGGGAGGATGTTTTATACCAACTTCTCTTATTATACCACCTTGGGAAATTCCTTATTTTAAAAGTTAATTCAGTCTGTCTGGATGGTAATCAAAGGAGCAAACACCATATGCGGGTTTGTGAACAACAGTACTAAACAAACAAACAGACATATTAGAACCCTGAGGGGAGAAGTAGCTAGCCACTTTCTGGGATCCCAAGCTGATAATTGGTAGAGTTAGTCCACAGGAAGTACTATATTTATAGCAAGCTGAAAATCTATCTTGCATTGATCTGAGGTCAGAACACAAGAGCTACATGATAATTTTGGAAACAAAGGTGGAAACCTTAAGTGTGTGTTTTAGAAATTTACTTTGAAACCTGAGAAATGTCAGTTAGTCCATATACCTCTGAAAGTCCCTTTGCCCATTATCTTCCTTCCTATCTAAATGATCAGCACTGAAGATGGCGGAGGGAAAGCAGTGACTTGCTAGAGCTCTCCCCCAAACCCCTCCAAATACCTATAAAAAATGGCTCTAAACAAGTTCTAAAGCAACAGAACCCACAAAAAAAACAGAGTAAAACAAATTTCCAGCCCAAGACAACCTGGATGGCTGATTGGAAAGGTATATCGCACCAGGCTGGGAGAGGAGTGCAGTTTGGCACGGGCCCGCAGGCCGCAGCGATCTTGGAGCAGGCCTCAGAGGACTGAATAGCGGGCAGCTGTGGTGGTTTCCAGACTTCTCAACCCAGGAATGCCAAAGACAACTTGGAAGGTCAGTGGGAAAAGTCTATGACTGCAATGAGAGAAAAAGCTAGGTCTTAGCCGCCCCGAGGGCAGCGGCTATTTCCTGAGCTTCTGGCCCACAGACTGAGGGGAAATAGAGTGGCTGATCAGAGGGGGATTGCAAGGATCTCTTTGCCAGTGCTGAGGCAGGAATCTCTGGCTTTGCCCATGTTTGGATTGGGGTCACAGTTCTGAGGGGCAGTCCTGGGGCGAGGAGGAGCGCTGGCAGTGGAGCTTGTTGTGGTGTTTGAGAGGAAACACCTCGCCCCTTATCATAGCACCTTGGAAGAACTGACACTTTTCAGGTCCCTAGAAGTATCTCTGAAAACAGCTATACAAACCCCCAAAGCTTGGGACAGTACATTCTCCACATTGGAAACAGACTCTTACCTTAACAAAGAGTTTAAAACTCAAGTAATTGTTTGGGATCATGAGCGAGCAGCGCAAAAAGAGTCAGACTATATTATCTTACTTTGGTGACAAAGAAGACCAAAACATACAACCAGAAGAAGAAAACAAAGTCAAAGCTCCTACATCCAAAACCTCCAAGAAAAATATGAATCAGTCCCAGGCCTTGGAAGAGCTCAAAAGGGATTTTGAGAAGCAAGTAAAACTCCTAGGAATATTGTAGCCAAATTCCAGAGTTCCCAGGTCAAGGAGAAAATATTACAAGCAGCCAGAAAGAAACAACTCAAGTATTGTGGAAACACAATCAGGATAACACAAGATTTAGCAGCTTCTACATTAAGGGACCACAGGGCATGGAATATAATATTCCGGAGGGCAAAGGAGATAGGATTACAACCAAAAATCACCTACCCAGCAAAACTGAGTATAATTCTTCAGGGGAAAAAATGGCCATTCAGTGAAATAGAGGACTTTCAAGCATTCTTGATGAAAAGACCAGAGCTGAATAGAAAATTTGACTTTCCAATACAAGACTCAAGTGGAACATGAAGAGGTAAACAGGAAAGAGAAATCATAAGAGACTTATTAAGGTTGAACTGTTTACATTCCTGCATGGAAAGATGATATTTGTAACTCATGAGACCTTTGTCAGTATTAGGGTAGTTGGAGGGAAAAAATTATATGTATGTATATAGATGGATAGATAGAGGGCACAGGGTGAGTTGGGGTCATATCTGGAGAATAAAATTAAGGGGTGAGAGAGGATTATACTAGGAGAAGGAGAAAGAGAAAGGCAGAACAGGGTAAATTATCTCACAAAAAATAACATGAAAGAAAAGGCTCTTACAGTGGAGGGGAAACGGGAGAAGGTGAGAAGGAATGAGTGAATCTTATTCTCATAGGATTTGACTTAAGGAAGGAATAATATACACACTCAATTGGGTATGGAAATCTGTCTTACCCTACAGGAAAAAAGGAGGGGAAGGGGATAAGAGAGTAGGGGGATGATAGACAGGAGGGCAGATTGGGAAAGGGGGTAATCAGAAGCAAATACTTCTGAGGAGGGACAGGGTCAAAAGAAAGAATAGAATAAATGGGGGGGCAGGATAGGATTAAGGGAAAAAGAGTTAGTTTTTCACAGCATGTCTACTATGGAAGTGTTTTGCATAACTGCACATGTATAGCCTATATTTAGTTGCTTGCCTTATCAATGAGGGTGGGTGAGGAGGGAGGAAGGGAGAAAATTTGGAACCCAAAGTTTTAAAAACACATGTTTAAAAAAAAAGTTTTCACATGCAACTGGGAAATAAGAAATACAGGAAATGGGGTACAGAAATCTATCCTGCCCTACAGGAAAATAGAAGGGGAAGGTGGGGAGAGATAGCAGGGAAAGCAGACTAGGGGAAGGGCTATTCAGAATGCATGCCATCTTGGGGTGGGGAGAGGGGCGAGTTGGGGTGAAAATTTGGAACTCAAAATCTTGTGGAAGTAAATGTTGAAAACTAAAAATTAAAATTAAAAAAAAAAAAGATCAGGGCTGACTCATTATATTGGGAGTAGCCCGGAAAGCAGGATCACCTCTTATGCTTGCCTTTGGCCAGAGGGAGGTACAGTCCCAGATTCAGTTCTTGAGTAGAGATGTCAGAGAGTGAAAAAAGATAATAATAAACAAACACCTTGAAGGGAAGGAACATCTTCCTTTGTTCCCTCTTTCTCACTGGTACATGGGAGAAATTATTCTTTCAATTCCACCTATCTCCTCATTCAGATATATTCAAGGTCCTTCCAGTGGGCCAGACACATAGGTCACAATAACAGAATGAAAGTTTGGCTCCTTAGTGTCTTAGAAGTGACTGCTTCTAATTCTTTTAAATTCCTGCTCATAATTTCCAAAAAGACCATTTTAATGGCTCATAATGAATCCCTCACTTAGAGAAAGATTCTTTAACAGTGGACCAGAGATTGGGGTTCCCAGCCAGAAGTCCAGAAGAAAAAGCCTCCCAGTCAGTCCTTTCTGTGTGACTAAAACTAGAAGACCTATCCTGGCTTCCCTTGCATGTTCAGATGACAAACAAAGGAATGTAAGGAAATGAACATGTCTAGGTCACCCACAAATATTAATGAGAAGTAAAACTGCATTTATGAAATACAACTTTTATTGGAATAGCTGAACAGTCTCAGATCTGGGTTCCAGCTGCATTGAGCCAAAGTAGGACAATGGGAGGGGAGTGAGGACCATCAGATGTTCCTATCCATTGCCCACGATGCACCTGTTTTTTTAATGGGGTTGCAGCCACCCTAGTAAGAAGCTACAGTCTTGTACCTTGTCATTTACCACTTTAGCTTTCCCTTCCCCCATGGGCTTGGGCAGCAACCACTGCATGGCAGTCACAACACTACTGTTGCTGCTACACTCTAGGAGGATGTCTTCTACTCCTTCTCAGTTTTTCCTCTTCTTTGTCGGCTCTCAAGTTTCACTCCCTTCCCAATACCATGTGATATTTCCTTGCACAGGAAAAAGATGAGTGAAAATTCAAAATCCCAGGCAATCTCTGTGGGCCTGGGCCATTCCTCCCCCTTACAGAGGAGTTATTACACATAGGGAGGGAATAGGATCGAAATACGTGTAATCTCACAATAAATTGGCATTTTGTAGATAATTAAGTACCAGTAAATGAAATAATTGAATTTAGAATGGGCTGTTAACACTCTTTGCCTTCTCATGCCTATCTCTAGGGAAATTAAACATCTTACTAGAAAAAAATTAAGAGGATAGGTGCCCTTTAATAAATCAACTTTGAATTTCCAATTATGGAGTCTTTGATAAGTAGTTTAATCAAAGCGTCACTAAAGAACTGTTGTGAAACTACACTCTCCTAGATATGAAATCACCATATTTGCCCGGGGACCTTCCTACCATGGTAGAGCTAATCTGAGTGAGAGTCAGGTTATAGCAAATTGGGACAGGAAACCCAAGATCAGTAACTGTAAGGAGATAAATACAGCAAATAAGAAGGAAGGTCAAGAACACACGATGTCTAAATTAGGTTTGAAGCCAAGGAAGACTGTGGTAGATAGTCAAGTTCTGCTAAGCCAACATCAAGACCACTGGGGAGCAGGACCAAAAGGGTTAGGTTCAGTCACATGGTCTGGAACATGGTAGAGCTTGGACAAGCATGTTGGATCTAGCAGGGTCCCATACTTGCTTACACATTAAGCCCTACATGTCCAGTTGCACATTTTCTTTTGAAAAGGGGAGTAAAAGGTAAATAATAAAGAATGGGGGAGAGAGAAATAACAATGGCAAAAAGAGAGAGAGGAAAGGCAAAAGAAAAGAAAAGAAAAGAAAATAGAGAATGGAAGATATTAAGTCAAATGAAAGGTCTCATATAAACTAAAATAATTATAGCTGCACTTTTTGTGGTTTATATGCTACCAAGCATTCTTAGTCTCTAAGATCAAAAGGGGTCCAAAAGACCATTTTAAAAAAATATGGATGTTTATAGTACACAATTTTCTTTTCTTTTGAAAGTTGTTAGCTGTGTGACCTTGGGCAAGTCACTTAACCCCTACTGCCTCACTAAAAAAAAAAAAAAAAAGTTGTTTATGTCCTTTGGCCATGTACATGTATAGGAAATTTAATCAATATTATAGATGAGGAAATAGAAGCACTCTGAAGTCAGGGTGGCATTTCCAAGGGAATGACTAAGCAGAAAGCAGAATCCTCCAGACTAATATAGATGTTAGTTCTGCTTTCCTGGCAGAAACACACATTCCATCACAACCACAGTAGCAAGTCACCTTCATTTTGGTCAAGCAAACTTTGTGAATTACAAATCACAGTCAAAGACAAGGATGACAAAATATTCATTATTCGTCTTCACCTAGGAACAACACTTCGCTTAGATGTATGGGACGGGTGGAAAGAATTTCTGACTGGCTGTCTCCAAGGACAAAAGCTTAAAGTCCAACAGTATCTATCAGAAGAGGAACCAGTACTCAAGTATGGTTGCTAAAAATAAATGTTAACTATATTAACAAAGCGTATTTTTCCCTATAAGCAATACTCACAATAACAGTTATTCCTAATAATCCTTGACACAGATCTGCAATGCTACAGTATATATGTTTGTATGTATATATATGTATATGTACATATGTATATGTATAAGTATATGAACAGACTTATATATATATACAAGACACACTATATATACACATATACATACACACATGTGTATGTATATGTGTATAGATGTGTATGTACACACACATATATATACATGGGCATATATGTACACACATATATTGTATATGGTATAATATTATATTATATATGATATGATATTATATATAATATAATATTATATATATTATGTGTGTGCGTGTATGTGTGTATATACATACTATAGTAGCCCTACTATACTCCATAAAATGATAGGAACCTGGCAGGAAAAGCGAATGATATTCAGGCTCAACAGTCTAGGTTGGCTTCATCTCTTTCCAACCAGCCACTGGACTCCTCCGCTACACTACTGCCCTCTGCTGGAGCTGTCTTCCATTGCTAGGGCTTCCTCCTTAAAGCTATGGTGGTTATATTTTTAGTCATGTCCATTGCCACGCCCAACCAGAACAGAAAAGAATCTCCCAGGTCAATATCCTTTTGACTACCTCACCTCCTTACTGCAGAAACTCTCCCAATCTGCTTGTCACCTAAGTTGCAGTGAGAAAATTCTTCTCAACTCCCATCATGCCCTTGGCAGATAGAGTGGCTGGGATATGGGAAGCTAGGTGGCACAGCAGATACAGTGCAAGACTTGGAGTCAGAAAGAGCCATCTTCATGAGTTCAAATCTGACCTCAGAGACTTATGGGTTGTATGACCCTGGGAGAGTCACTTAACCCTGTGTGCCCCAGTTCCCTCATCCGTAAAATGAGCCGGAGAAGGGAATGGCAAGTCACGTCAGTATCTTTGCCAAGAAAACCCTGAAATAGGGTCATGAAGAGTTGGACACAACTGAACAACAACAGAGGTATGTAAATTATCCTGGAGCTGCACTTAGCAGCATTGAAGGGATGAGATGGCATTGGCACTGAATTCTTGCACCTTCACTCAGGTCTAAGGTTCTCACCACATTCATATGGCATGTGGAAGCCTACATGACTTGGGGGCATCAAGTCCAGTACACTCCTATTGCCTCAGCCCACCTCAAAGAAACAACTAGGACTGTCCACTTTGATGGGCAAAGGTATCTTTTTTTTTTTGGCTAAGCAATGGGGTTAAGTGACTTGCCCAGGGTCACACAGCTAGTAAGTAAGTGCCAAGTCTGAGGCTGGATTTGAACTCAGATCCTCCTGACTCCAGGGCTCTATCCACTATATCACCTAGGTGCCCCAAGGCAAAGGTGTCTTGATAGAACTTTCTCTTCCCATAAAACCCCTTATTGACCAGGTGCTCCAACAACAACATTTCTAATTGCTGAGTTTGAACTTCCCAATCACTGAGTACTATAGGTGCCAGTTTTGATGGACCCTAGGACCTTGGAGGAATTTAATGAACTTAGTCCTTATTTAGCAAGAGCAAGTATCCCTAAAATCTCATGCCTATAGTGTTGGTTGAAAGTCAATGAGTGCTCCCTTCTCTCTGGATCAGTGGCCTGAACAAGCAAAAGCCTGTCAGTGTGGTGGGAAGATATTAAATCAGCATGAATTGCTCCGTCTGAATATCATCCGCTCTTTCCCTGGCTTCCTTCAAAACTCATCTGGCTTAGTGGCTTCTTTCAAGATTCAGCTCAAATCTCACCTTCTACAGGAGAACTTTCCCATTCCTCCCTCCTCTATCACCTTTCCATTTATAAAGTAATATGTCTTGTAAATATCTTGTGTGTATGTAGTGATTTATATGTTATCCCTCCTATTGGAATGTTAGCTCCTTGAGGGCAGGGACCTTGTTTCATCTTTCTATCCCCAGTGCTTAGCACAGTGCCCGGCATACAGTAAGTGCTTCATAAATGCTTGTTGACTTCTGACTTCTTCCTTTTCCCAGTTGTTCTTAGATTCCTGCCAAGGTTTTACCTAACTTGGATATCATAGGAAGCTGACACCCTACTCCCACACTGCTGAAGGCACTACCTACATATAGGGTATATCACATCTAGCTATAGCCCCATATTGAACCTCAAGCCAGAGCTTCCTCCCCTAGACAGGAATACAGGAGCATATTTAGTGTAGTCAATGCACAAGCAGGATTGTCACTCATGTCTTACAAATGTATATATATATACACATATGTATGTATGTATACATATACATGTATATGTATATATTAATAAATAATATAGTATAATATTTACAAATAGGACCTGTGTGAGTCAAAGGACATATTACTACTCACTTAACCAAAAGTTATAATATTTAATAGAAATATTTTTGGCATACTTCTATCTAGTAAAAAATAAACTGCAATAGAATATTTAATAATTGCTGGGTACCTATTTTTATCAGCTTTTTTAGATTAACTTTCCTATTTTGTTACATTCCCACAGGTACCAGAAGAGGGTAGCACTTTATATGGCTGCATTTTATGGATATATTGAGCTCACAGAGTGGACCCTACAGCAAGGGGCAAGGCCCAATGAAGCAGTTGGCGTACATCCCTACCGAGAATGGTGTCATGAAACTTATCATCCAGATACTGTCAAATGTCCCGTTCATGCAGCTGCAGAAACAGGCCAATTATTGGTACTTAAGGCCTTTATCAATTACAATGTCTTGTGCCTGGACTGTAAAAATGCAGTGGGACAAATCCCACTGATGATTGCCCTCAAACACAAGCATAAAGACTGTGTACTATATTTGGTGGCTAAGATGTGGTCCATGGTTTCTTATTCTAAAATTTCTATCCCCATGAGGATCTATATTAAAATAAAACAATGGCTTCTCAGAGCTCAGCATCACATCCTTCAGAGAAGACACCACAATGGGACTCAGGTGTTCAGAACTCGAGTTGGAGATTTTGTCATGGTGGATGGCTTCACCCAACCAAAAATGACCTCCAAAGAATGGAGTAAAGCTGGGAACAAGGGCATAAAAAGCAATGTTCCCAAACTGCCAAGTTGCCATGAAAAAACCCAAAGCAGGAAAACCTCAGATCCTTTGACAGTTCCACAGCAGCAGCAAAGTGTGGGAAGCGTAAAATTGCCTCCAATAAAAGAAACAAATGAGTTCTCAAGATTACAAGAATGTTACTCAAACAACCAGAAAAAAAAGATGGCTACATCTAGAAAAAATGAAGTGATGACAACGAATCTGTACTCAGCCCAAGTTCCTCTTCCTTCACTTGCAACTAGGGGCTATTCACACCCTCCTTTTTACTATGTGACACCTAAGGCAGCCCGTTTCCTAACTTCATCCCTTGAATCTTTCTTGGAACACAGTGGGAAGACTGCAAGAGAGAACGCAATCTACTGCTTAGCTACTGCAAGGTATTTTTCTTCTTTAACCATTCATGTTGGCCAATATTTAAAATTGTGCATCCTAGGTAAAAAATTATCATCATCATCATCATCATCAGTAGCACCTACTCTGAGGCACTTATCCCAACTCTCCTTTTCTTTCATGAGTCAGGATCCCAGAGCTTAGGAATGTAGCCTTACAGTCAAGAAAACTTGGAATCAAGTCTTGTCCCCTACCTTACGGTTTAAAACCATATCCACTGCCTCAATGGAAACGACAGAGGTATTGGCTCATGAACAGTAGAACCGTGAGGAAGAGGAGTGAGTAGTCAGCTGCCCTCTGGGGACCCTACCTGTAAGTATGAGTACCCAGTTGGGAAATGAGCCCAGAGTTGGTGCTAAATTTGTATTATAGCTCATCTTATCATAGGTCCCCCACACACCCTATACTCCTTGTAGTATTTTACTAATGATTATCTGGTTCCAATAGAATTCTAAGAAAGGTTTTTAGAACAAAATAGAGTTGTGAGGGCCTCATGCTTATTTAGTATACCATATTTCCAACTGAGTTGAATGTGAATTAGAAACTCTCCAAGTCCATCAAATAAGGTCATGTGAGATTCTGCCAAATTCTAGTTTAGGTTCTCAGTATAGTATTACGTAAGTAAAAGATGGAGTCCTTTCCTCTCAATGAATTTTCATAAGTGTTACGGAATTTCCCAGTGAAGAGTTAAATGTTAAATCACAAGGTCCCTTGTGTTTTGGTTTTTTTTTTTAAGACAAATAGGGAATTATCAGTTCCACACATTATGATTAAGAGTGTTTCTGTAAGTGAGAACAGAAAAAAGAATTTGAAAAATAGGGGAAAGAAAATGTATTTGGAAAGCATAGGTCTGGAGTCAGCTAACTATAACCCTGGGTCAAATAATCCAGAAGCTGCCTGCTTTTGTATAGCCTGAAAACTAGGAAGTTTTTACATTTTTAAATAAAGTTTTTATTGTATTTTAAAATGTAAAAACTATACTTAGCTTAAAGAGCCGTATAAAACAAGGTATAAAGGGCTGTGGTTTGTCAACTCCTGGAATAAGTAATTGGACAATGATGAAACTGGAAGTAAATAGGTAAGTAATTGAGTAATAAAGTGAGCCAAAATGAATTAAGCAAAATAGTGAGGTGAAGCTCTTGGAGATAAAGATGGGACAGGATGAGAAAACTGGATGGAAGTGATAGTATCTGGCAATAAGCAAACTTATTTGAACCAGATGCTTCTGACTCATTCATTATCATAAACACCTACACCCATTGGTGACACCCCATGATTCTGTCTTTCCCATGTCATGTAACTATCATGCTATAACATTCTGTGCACCAATTTTATCACAAACATTTTATTTTTTGAGCACCTGCTCATTTCTTACTATTTGTCAGGTTGCTGCCACCTAGTGGTGGTGATTTGGATATGTACTGGAGAAAGTTTGGAGTCAACCTAGTGACATTAGCAATTCATTGGGTCACAAGTTTCAGAGTTGAAAGGATTTTAAAGATGATCTTCTACTCCAGACCTTTATTTTACAGATGAGAAAACTGATGCTCAAAGACATTTCAGTGACTTATCCTGGGCCATGCAACTAAGTAGCACAAGCAGTATTCAAACCTAGGGATGCCAATTTAATTCAATTCAATTCAATAAGAATCAATCAAATGTGCAGGCAAGCACTGTGAGAGGTGCTGGTGATACAAAGACAGAAAATAAAAACATTTCCTGATCCAAATCTAGTGCTCTTGCTGTAGGTAGCCTACATCTTTGTACCCTATTGAGGTATCTGTGAGTAGAATTTTTTTTAAACGACCTTTTAGGACACTAAACAAAAAACTGTAACAACAGTTGGATAATGAATTTTAAAATTATTTATCCTGAGATTCACAATGAAAAACAAGAAATAAAATATGATTATTTTACCAATAGATATCTGCAGGGGGAGATCCCAGCCCTGTACTAGGAAGGGTCACTCTCTTTGTGACTCCCAGAACTTTCCCAAGCCTTCATGCTGCTCATGACATTAGGAAACAAAAAAACAGGACCAATCACAGGTATTTATGAAAAATAACGTTAGATCCACCAAATTCAGTCTTTAACAATTTTTTTTAAATGACACAATTAGAAACAGGTGCCAGCTATACCCAGATGAAGTAAAACAGTGTTGAGGTCAGATTTGGGAGAGCAGTATGAGTGTGCAGAATTCACTTAAAGCACACGTGGACCTTTTACTGTAGCTGCAGGGTTGAATAAAAAGGTACTGATATTGGGGGGTGCCTAGGCTAATGTAGACAAAAAGCTTTACAACCTACAGATTTTTAGGGTCTTATAATGGTTAAAGATTAAGGACAGGAAGGTTTTTAGGGTTTTATGATTGATTAAAGGTCAAGGATAAGGGGGGACACGGGACAACGAAGACAAAGGCAATTCTTTTGGTACAGGTTAAGGATATGATATTTATGATATTTCAAGATAAGGGGAAAAGGACTTTAAGATGCTCTCAAGTTACAGAATGAGGTACAAAATGACTCCCCCCAGGAGGGGCTTCACAAAGTACTAGAAAAACAACTCTTAATATTCTTTTAACTCCTCAGGTACTGAAGAGGTCTAGAGGTTTGCGGGTGCTCGAACGGACCCCTCAAGATCATGGTGCCGGGTCTGCCTGAATGAATGCAACCCAAATCTTCTTCCAGCCAGAGAAATAGTGTATTAGAGATAAAGCACATAGGCCAGACTCCCAAGAAACCCAAACATCAGTAATGCCCCCCCCCCCATAGGGACGAGCGGCACGAGACTCTCAGCCTCTAGGAGTGAGAGGTTCTTAGCTTCTAAATGGGAATGCCAGGTGACGCCCATAAGGACGAGCGGGCATGAGACAGTCTCATCCTTTTGGGCGTTAGATTCTCAGTGTCTGAATGGGGGCTAAGGTGGATCTTAAGTACAGAAAGACTGTGGGAGGGATCTAGGACTGGCCAAGTAGTTTGGGGTGACGGGAGGAAGGGCCTAAGGAGGTCTGGATGGGAGGGGCTGGTAAGCTGGGGTGAACAGAACTCCTGGGACCTGGACCTCATGGGGCCTAGCTAGGATTAAGGGTGGGAAATGGCCAGGGGGCATAGGAAGGTAAAACAGTGGAGAGGAGATTGGGTGTAGCCACAATGAAAGGCCAGTTGACACTAAAGTAATTTTGGGTGGCCAGAGGAAGGGGGAGGTGGTTGGGAGTTGGTGAGAATTACATTTGGAAGGTCTTAGAGATTGAACAGACAATGAGAATAGATAATGAAGGGATAAAGAGAGCTTTCAAAGGTCAATAAAGGCAGTTTATAAGGAATTTAAAACTCTAAGGTGTTTCTGGGAATCTGCAGACAAACAGGAGCCAGGCTCTTTTTAGGGCTAGGGAGGAAGGTGCATCTGAATAAGATCAAAAGGTGAGGCTGAGGCTTTGGAAGGGCAAAGGTCTCCACTTCTGAAAGTGAATGAAACCTCCTCAGTACCATTTGTATATGCATCAGCAGGGTTAAGGACTGTCAGTTTTTCATGTCTAATTTTCCTTTCAGTGCTCCACTGAGAGCAAGAGAATAAATGCCTGCCAAGAATAAAAATAAAAAATATAGTCACATGCCTCTCTGCTTGTCCTTCTAGCGGTCACCTCTCAAGGTCTTCCATATGGAGGGTTGGGTTTGAAGAAACGGACAGCAAAGGCTGCTACCACTGGTCATGCTGCTGCTCCATGTATTGGGGCTCCCTCTCACCTCAATCTTCTCTCCTCTCTTTTCTCTCAAGAGGCCTTCAAAACTCCCACTGTACAGGGAGAAATCTTGCCTTCTAGTACTTATCTCAAATTAGCTTTCTTTCTTTTCAAGCTGAGGAAAAATATGACTTCCCAAGGTCAGCAAAGACAGTTATACATGTGTTCCTGTTGAGTTAAATGAAAATGAGAGAACATGAACAGTTTTAACTGTTGAAGATTCCGCCTTCTACTGAATTGGTATCTTTCCCCAGATTTGAGTTCTGAGTAGTGGTATTGCCATTATTCGCACCTGTCTCACATAAGAGCTACATATTTATGAATTTAACAACTGATATGAGAAAGATCCCAGGTTCTTCACAGACTTGTGTGCAGATCAAAGTTAGACTAACGGACATCTAAAACTACAGACTGAGGGGTGTCCCTCATATCCACATCTAAACAGTGAAAGATTAGGTTTCATGATAAATTGTTTGTTATTTTTTTGCAGTGCGTTTAAAGAAAAACGATGGCTTCAGCAGTTAGAAATTGCAAAGACCATGGCAAAGAAGAGTATTTATAATCTAACTACTGAAGGCCCAACTTCCAAATGAAGATCTGCAGGAGGCTTTCCTTTGAAAAGGGAAAACCCCATTCATTTGTGTCTCTACAGTGTAGACATAATTCCTCATTTCTAATGCCAACAAACCTCATGCAGCAGCAGGGGGGAAGGGCTCATAAACAGCTAAAGAGTCTCTGACATTCAATACTGTGACCTCTGAATGTTGGCGACTTGAATCACCAAATCACTGATGCTCCTAGTTGGAAGGGGCATCAGAAACCATGCAGTTCAATCATGTCTGAACAAAAATCCCTGGTACCACCAGACAGGGTTTTGCTCAGTCTGAAGAATCCCAGAAACTCCCTAGCCCCTCAGGTGGTCAATTTTACTTTTAGAGAGTTCTTATTAACAAGTTTTTCCTTATATTGAGCCCAAATCTGCCTCTTTACTCATTCAATTAATTTTATCAGTTCTGACTTCTGAAGCAAAGTAGAGAAAATCTAGTCCGTCTCCCATTTTATTGTTTTAATACTTGGAGATAGCTGTCATCCCTCCAAAATCTTCTTTTCAACCAATTGTTGAATGCTGCTGGCTTTGCTTGACCCTGGAGCTATGAATTGGCTGAGGACAATTGAAACTAGTTAAAAGAGGACTATCAGACCAGTTTAGATAAGAATGTTGAATGCAGACATCAGAAGGGGCTACCTGACTTTGATCCCAGCTGACCCCACAATTGGAGCAGGTCCAAACTGGTTTACCCTATTGCTACACAGGGAGCCTGAGCCTGCAATTCTGGCCAGATGTCACCCCTCCCACCAGCTTTCCTGGCCTTCTCTATGGACTTTTGATTGTTATGCAAAACAACTTATGTAACAGCTTCTTAAGGCTGTGCCTCCTATGAGACTCCCTCCCAGTTGAAATGTATTTAACCCTGTACCCCCTGCCCCTCTTGGGCACTCCAGTTCCCTGGTGCCCTGTGGTAATCCTGAATTGCAATTGCCTTGTCTCCAATAAAGATCCTAGTTTTTGCTACTTTGGTAGTCTTCTTTATTTCAGGTTGACATATCTGCTATCAGGAAGCAGAGTTTGAAGACTCCTGCCCAGGTGGCTGCTGTTTTCAACCTCAGAAATCTGGTACTAGCAGGGACCCTTTGTGTTCCAGTCTGGGTTTGACTCGGCAGTTTGGTCTGGGTGGGTCTCTCAAATTTCCTGAACTCCTGTCTCTTTTTGGTTGATTTCTTCACTCTTTAATCAAAGGTTTGTTAAAAAGACCCATGGGAGGTGGCGGGATAGGAAAGGAGGAAGAAAAATGTTTTTTTATAAAAAGTATATAGCAGAGAACAAAAGAAAACCTAGAGCGTGTCAACATTCAGTGTTTGGTCTAAAAAGAGACAAACAAAATTAGGTTGTATATGTGCTGTTTATTTTCTATAAGCTAGCAGAATCATGCATGGATGGGAGCTCAAGTAGGATGAACTCAAAGAAAGTTTAGTTGAAGGAGGTTATATACCCACAGAGTAAGGAAGAGCTGACTCAGGATGCCTGTGTCAGCCAAAATTAAATTTTCCATAGAACAAGAGAGTACCTTCAGGATGTCTGGTTTCTGTCAGCCATAAACAAGAGGATGTCATAAAATATGACAGCATCATAACAAGAAAGGGCCATAAAACAAGATAACAGGAATGCCATTAATCTCGATAGTGTCCAGTTCAAGGTGCCTGGTCTTTATCAGTCATAAATAGAAGAATGTTCCCAGTGAGCTTCATCCAGTCTGGTGATTGCTGACATAGCGAGGGAACCTGGGGTTCACTCAGAAAGCATGGTAAGGTGCTGTTGGCACGTTAACTTGGAGGGAGCCAAAATGTCTTTTTCTGAATGGCCAGTCTATGTTTTCAGCCCTCTTTGGGTGATGAGGGACTTAAGTAGGTCTCACAAAGGAAACACAGAAAATCTAGCTAGCTTTGAAAACAATGCGTAGGATTTATTACATAAGTTTTTGTGAAATGGAGATTTATTGTTTTATACTGAATCCTCTCTTATGTTCTGCTGTATATATGGAAAAGTCATTTTTTTCTTTTCTTGTTTTATATTTAAGTTTAAAATGAATTTTTAAAAATTAAAAGGAAAAATTTCAAAACAAAATAAAAAAAAGAACCATGGGCAATTCGGGGTCCCTTCCAACAGATCTCCCTAAAAAGGGAAAGTTGCTGGATTTGTAATTATGGACCATATGTGGTGACTCTGGCACATCCCTCTAAAAGGATAGCTGCTGGGTTTATGTTTTGTACTTTTGTCTATCTTTGTGGAATACCAAGTGTGCCATTGTGCATTTATATGTGTGTGTCTTTCGAGTAAAAAGCAAGCCTAATTTTTTCTTCTCTTTGTGGTTGGAGCACCAGAGGAGAGACAGGATGTGGTAATAGCTGTTCACTTGCCCTTGGTTCTGCTGTAGTAAAAACTGAAAGGTTTAAGCCTAGGTTACCTTTAAGAATTTTTATAGGGGGCAGCTAGGTGGTACAGTGGATAGAGCACTGGCCCTGGATTCAGGAGGACCTGAGTTCAAATCTTACCTCAGATACATAACACTTACTAGCTGTGTGACCTTGGGTGAGTCACTTAACCACATTGCCTGGCCAAAAAAATCTGTTTTTACAGATAACGGGAACCAAAAGTAGCAAAAATAACAATGAGAAAGAAACAGTTTGAGACGAGCACTCAATGGCTTTTTCTCTAAATGCTCCCTTTATCCTCTCCAACCAATTAATTTGAGTAAGTCCCTTTCCTTTGAATCGCTCTGCCATACAATCCAGAATTGTTAGAAAGGTAATATTGGCAGAGAGGCAGTTAGAGGGTAACTACAGTTTGATTTTTTTTTTTGTTTTCTTTTTTAGGCAGTTGGGGTTAAGTGACTTGCTCAGGGTTACATAGCTACTAAGTGTGTCAAGTGTTTGGTCTGAGGCTGGATTTGAACTCAGGTCCTCCTGACTTCAGGGCCAGTGCTCTATCCACTGCACCACCTAGCTGTCCCTTTGCACAGTTTGATTTTTTTTTAACTGCTTTTAAGTAATTTGTTTCTAACTAACTCAAACCTTAACTGGGAATTGAATATTAGAAATTGCAAATCCAACTTTAATTGAACCCCTAATTAAGGTTGTTGATTATGTTCAATTTGAATCTGGGGAACTGTCTGACTTCTTGGTCATTAAACTGAGTTTTAAGTATTAACTCATGAAAAAGAGAAAAGTTCATGTGAATGGGAACCAACCAAAAGGTAAATAGGATCTGATTAAAAAATCTAATTGGATACTTAAGAGTAGAAATCAATTTAGAAATAATTTTTGAGAGGTGGCTTGGTGGTGAAGTGGATAGAACACTGGCCTTGGAGTCAGGAGGACCTGAGTTCAAATTCGGCCTCAGACACTTGACACATCCTAGCTGTGTGACCTTGGGCAAGTCACTTAACCCCCACTGCCTCACCAAAAAAAAAAAAAAGAGAGAGAAAAATAACTTTTGAATTGGTGTGTTTTCAACTTAGAAATTTTGCTATAAATTATATGAGACTCTTACTCACTTTTATAATAGCTTATGTATTTGAATTTTTGAGGATTGGTTTGCTTCTTGCCCACAAAAAGAAAAGCTTATTTAAGAAAGCAAATTGAAATTTACATGGAATTTATTTGGATAATTGCTTTAAGTTACTTCTCTGAATAATATGCCAGAACGTAATTGTTATTTGAATAGGCCAAGTTTTTGCAAGCTGTTAAAGTTTTTATAATTGCTAAGAACACCTTAGAGGATTTTTGGTGTTTCCATCCCTTAGGGAATAACAGAATTGTAACCAATTGGATTCTAAGTCAAGTAAAAGTCTTTAATAAATCATTGGTTCTGTTTAACAACAATGTAGGAATTCAGTAAAGATTAAAGATGGTTAGTCATTTTTCAGTTGTGCTTGACTCTTTGTGACCTCATTTGGGGTTTTCTTGGCAAAGATACTGAAGTGGTTTACTATTTCTTTTTCCAGCTCATTTTACAGATGAGGAAACTGAGGCAAACAGAATTAAGTGACTTGGCCAGGGTCACACAGTTAGTAAGTGTCTGAGACCAGATTTGAACCTAGGAAGATTTGTTTTTCTGACTTCAGGCCCAGCATTCTATCCACTGTGCCACCTAGCCTGAAATGTTATAGGAATAAATAAGAAAAGTCTGAGACTTCAGACCACAGGAGAGATGTATACACAAGAAAAAATGTTGAAAGAAAAGTTTTAAGGGAGTTTTAGCTTTGCTTAAGTGGGAAAGGTGTGTGACCATTTGGGAAATAGAACCAGGTGTAGTTAAGTTTATTCTGATCTCATTTTAAGTGAAATGTCTCCTCTAATAAAATGCTTTTGATAAGTCAGAATTTATTATACTATTTGGTAGTAAGACAAAGTGTTTTAAAAAATGCATGGTTCTGGAAATTTGTTAATTGTGTGATCTTAAAAAACAAGTTACCTCAGTTTACCAATCTGTAATGTGGATAAAGATAACACCTCACATTGATTTGATAGTTCATTGTATTAGCACTATCGGTAAAATGGTAAATTCTTTTTAGGCCAGTATTCTTTTGAGTTATATGTTAAATTGCTATATTCTTTTGGGTTGTAGATTCAATTGTTACAGATCCAATTGCTAAAAGAATGATTTTAAATATTTGAAGCTGTTCGTTTAGAAGTGCAATAGATATTTATAATGTTTTTATTTAATTTTAGTTGAGAACTAGAAATTACAAAAGGAAAAGCTTCTGAAGCTTTGACTTGTTAGTCTGCTAGAAGAAAGGTGAAATAAGTGTCTAGTAGTCCTGCCCAACCACCTTTCAGGATGGTTTGTAAGAAGCTCGTGTTTATTGAGTACTTAACATTAGACCTTGCCTATATTATACATCAAGCACCATGTAAATGTTGGCTATTATGATTTTCAAAATTTCTGCATTCATTCTATTAGCTCTCTTTGCAAAAACTCTCAAGGACTTGAGATGGGACGTGTCCAGCCAGCATCAAACTAAACTCCATAGAGTTTTTGCCTGGGTCAAAAGTCAGCTCTCTACCTAAAATAATTCTACCAATAATACTTAGCTTAACATAGCTTGAGCTAACCTGATAATGACAGTTATGAAACTAAATTAGTAAAGCTTTATATGTATTTCTTAGTACTGTTAACATAAAATTAATTAAATGCTTATAGTATGAAATTTAGTATCATTAACACAGAAAAATGACTTCTCTTGTAATATGGATAGAAACTCAGTTGTTGAAGAGTTGTCTCAAAGCTGCTAATAATTTTGTTGAATGTATTCAAAAATCTCTTGTTTTATCTGGCAAGACGTGTGAGACTTAATATTTGACATGGTCATAATTTATTTCAGCTCTGCTGGTGATACGGTATAAGTTTTGTAATGCTCAAATGTGAGAATAACAAGATATCTTTCTATGTCAACTCTTCCTATCACTGTGAAACAATTCACCAAGCACTGGATTGTTTACCTACCAATCTTTGCGGTTTTAAGCAGGAGGTGTTAGATGAATCACCACAGAGATAATTAGCTTGTCCAGCCAAGCTTTTTGCAGGAAGTAAGTTCCACCTGAATTTGTTCTGCTGTATTAAAGCAATGTGTAATTTGCTATGTAAGGTAATTTGGAAATGCATTAAATTGAATTGAGGTCAATTGATTGGTAATGGTTTTTGTTTCAAAGTTCAGATCTATAAAATTGTAAAATTTGGTGAACTACTGTATCAAATGTGCTGTTAGGAAAAGCAGTGTTTCTTTTAATCTGGATGTTGTTAGATAATGAACAAAACTGTTTTAAAAAAAGGAAAACTGTTATGTTACTTTATCAGCCATGCTGATCATGTGTTGTAGTATTCTAAAGTATTATAATTTAAGAAAATGGAAACTTCCAGCTTTGCCTAGAGTAAAGATGAAATTTTATCTGAAATTATTGGCTATCTACTTAGAAAA